GCTGTGTGAGACTAGGTTGCCCGCTGTCACCTTTCCTCTTTAACTTCGCCATTGACGAAGCCATGGAATCAACTTTTGTTGGACACGACTTGCAACGTGTGGAGCTACTTCCTGGTGAGCGACTTCTTGACTTGGAGTATGCGCACGAGATTGCCCTAATCTGTGACAGCTCCCAAACGTGTTAAGCTGCACTGAACAGATTATCAGTCGTTTTGTGCTATGCCTTGCCTCATCAAATGCTAAGTGCTTCTCCGAGATTGACAGCGACCCACTGCTGCGCTGACCCTTGGCGGGGATCAGAAAGTCAAGTATATGAGCAGCTATATTAGCGCCCGTGGGATTGAAGATGCGGTTACGAACCGTATAGCGAATTCTTGAGGTGCTTTTGCTAATCTCTGCCATCTGTGATGCCGACGCCTCATCACTGTAGCCGTGAAGGACAGAGTTTATAATGCAACTGTCCATTCAACCCTCTTACATGGATGTGAAACCTGGTCCACCAGGTCGACAATCACGTCCGATCATCGCTGCCTTCGCAGCTTAGCCCGTGTTTTCTGTGAGCACCGCGTGATAACTGAATGTGTTCAGCGTCATATATTTGGTACAGTAAGAGCGCGTGAACCGCTCAGCACCATTATATCAAGCACCAAGCTCCGATGGCTGGACCACGTGTTGCGCATGCCAACACACCGTTGCTTTGTTTGTGGGATTGGAAGAGGAGGATAGTCCAAGCGATGTCTAAGTCTAAAGGAATGAAGTCCCTGACTGCCTGGCTGGAGTCCGAAGGCCAATGAAGACGTCTGGTAGGATAAACTTGTTGATATGACGAAGAGCCGACCTCAGTGCCGTTTGTGTTGTGCGTTTTTTGTCCACCCACCTCCCCATTAGATTTCCTCTCCATTTACGATCTCGTACTAGATGCATAATCTTTAATCTTATAACGCTTACTTTTTGAATTCTTTGTAGTGTACTTTTATTCGTATATTTTTTGTATTGCGGTACATTAGCTGGGGGGTATTTCTCACCCTCAGCTAAGGTGTATTAGTTTACTGACCTTTAACTTGAAAATAATACCCGTGTATTTACTGAAACAAAAGGTTGCGAAGAGCGCTCTTCGATAAATCTGAATACTGAACATAGACAGCGAGAAGATAAAATTCGGTGTTGCTCCATCGTAGGTGGATCGGGCATATGTGCACATTCACATCACTGATTCCTGCGTGGTAGCAGCATATTGCAGCTGCGCTACATCTTATCCGGGTGCGATACACTCCCTTTACCTGTAGTCCGCAAAGTGAGCGTTTAGACATCTCTAATTCCGACACCCATTTCGCTTCGACTAGCGTTCCCGGCAATTTGTTCCGATATTTCACCGCTCGAAGCATAGAGCGTAAGCGATGTACTTTAAATTCGATACCATTAGTTTGTGCTGGTGTCCGCGGATGCTGCTTGGTACGCGAACATGCAGCAGCGGCTTCAACATAGGGAAGTGGCCCAGGTGCAATATCCGGTGCGTCATAATGAGATCAACTCGAAGCCGACGATATGACAGGGTATAAAGCCTTAGTCTCCTACATCGATCCTCTTACGACACCCCGTAAACTGGGGATGAGCCGGGTAGCTGCATGCTGGAACCGTTCCAGTCTCTGCACCACCTATTATGATCTGGCAATGGGCGGGTGAGCCGTATTCAGGCACCGGTCTTATTATCGAAGAGAACAGACGAGTGGCAATCTCTTCAGACCAACATCGAAAGCTGCGTTTATGTGCCCAATGCAGGCGTAGCCCGTTTGCGTACAGTCTGTTCGTGTTGTCGACAGACTTCAGGTCACAGTGTGAGAGTACGCCTAGATCGTTTACGGAACTGCTGGGATGCCGCGAGTGGCCGTCCAGGGTATATGGACACCCATTACTACCCCCTCCAGGCTCAAAAACGGGGACTTAGCCGTATTGACCGGTAGGTCAGCTTCTGCAGACCACCGGTATAGGCGATCGACGTCCTGCTGTAGGACGTCACAGTCATCGGGAGAATGAATAATCCTCCAAATCTCCAGGTCGCCCACAAATAATGCATAGGGCGACCGAAGAAGCTGAGGTACTTCGTTGATGTGGATCAGGAATAAAATGGGCCCTAGTGCTGTGCCTTGGAGCACACCGCTAGTGGACGGGTACCATTTCGTTAGGTGGTCATCCACCTGAACCCACCATCTTCTTCCAATAAGGAAGTCACTGATCCACTTGTACAGTGCGGTACCAACACCACACATCCTCAACTTGTGGAGAAGAACCTCATGGTTCACTTTATCGAAAGCTTTACTGAAATCAACATAGCTAAAATCCACTGACTTCCTCCGGTTCAACGCTTGCAACCATTCCTGCCGTGTCAACAGCAGGTTGGTGATGCACGAGCAGCCCTTCATGAAGTTGTGCTGTGCCGGTGTTAGCAGATCTTTCGATTCCAGCAGCTGGAGATGATCCTTTCCCACAATCTTCTCTAGCTCTTTCGCCAAAACAAAGGTAAAACAAATCGGCCGGTAATTGTTCACATTGCGTGGGTCACTATCTTTTGGAATCGGCTTCACTACGGGTCATTTCCAGTTGCTCGGCAATGCACCCTCGGACAGCGATCTATTGACCAAATGCGTCACGGCAGGCGAGATGATGGTCGATAAGGACTTCAAAATTAGCGGGTGAAGTCCATCGCTTCCGTCAGGTTTTGTACTTTCAAGACTGGCGACTAGACTGCGGACATCTACACCGCAATCAAGGCCGTCGAGTTCAGTAGGGGCTACACATGTCGAGCTCGACATAGGCACATGCCCACTTGTAAATACGGAAAGGAAGTGTTCCGCCAATGCTGACGCACATCCAGCGCTGGTGGTCAGAGGCTGTCGGTCAGTGCCCTCTAACACAGCTACGTCACTTGTGGACTTCAGGCGCCGCTTCAGTAAGCAAAAATCTTTTTGGGGGCCCGTCCTTGCTTATATTACAAGTTCCTCTTCGAACTGCCGACACTGCGCTGTTGCATAGCTTCCGCTGCCTTTTGTACGCCTCCTAATCGTCGGCAAAGCCAAACACGAAGAATTTATTCTACAATACGCGTCGCCGTCGAGCTAATTGACCATACTCTCTGTCGAACCGATTTGGCTTCACTGGTCCAGCTTTCCGATACTTGCGAGATACGATACGTGCGCAAAACGATTGCACACCCTCTTTTATAACAGACCAACAGGCTTCAACAGATGAATCCTGCGACAGCGATCGGTCTACTTCACTGGTGGCTCGATTTATGCCATTGAGGTCGGTCTTCCAATACTTGTAGGACGGCTCCGGCGGACGCGAGTAGGGCAGCGGCAACTCTAGGTTGGCTAACATCATCAAGTGGTCACTAGTTGCCAGAGGCTCTAGAACTTGAATTTCATGTACATATTGCTCGCAACTCTTTTTTAATATGTCCAGGCACGATGGAGCGGAATGCGGTGTAACGCACGTCGGTTGGCAGACATGTTGTGCTGCCACAGTTTCAAATACCATATTCGCAAACTGCGCCTCGACCTCATAATGCCCGGGGAAAAGTTGTACCTCAAGCCACCGTATTCGAGGGAAGTTAAAATCACCCATAAGCTAGAAACGGGGCCGACTAATGTAGTTTCTGGCATGAGGCAACCAATCCAGACATCTAACTCGCGTGCTACGATAAACCGCACCCACAAACAGTTCACCCTGTCTCAGACGAATATGGTTCTTTAGACCTCTTAGCCTACCGAGGCGGGATTGTATCAGCCTCGGACTCGTTGCATCAACTAAAGTGACTCGCAGAGGCCGTAATTTTCCTTCCTCTTTCTTTCCAAGACGAGTGATTTGCTTCACCTGCAACCCCTGTTCATTCACGTCGAGAAGCCTATCATTCAGGCTCTGTAGAAAATCTACGTCGTGGTCATGGCGAGCTGGAGGAATAGCCTCCGTCGACTAAAACGCATGAAATATCATAAGGTTACAACGCCGCTGATTGCCGGCAGTTTTCCTCCTTTTTGCTTTGCTGCATTCTCCATTGGCCTTTAACGGCTGCGCTATCGCACACCGGTATGTTTGTCCGTAGGATGCAACACAGGCACGCCAGCTGAGTCTTCAGCAACGGGTGGACATCGCGCTGGAGAGCCTGTAGCTGGTGTGCAGGTGGGCTCGTTCAAACATAAAGGGGGCTGGGTTTTTGCTTGCTTGGATGAACCCACGGAGCTCCTCTCTATGGAACGTTTCGCCCGTTTTGTAGGCTAGCGCGGCTTGCCGGCTGTTTGTGACTGCATACTGGATTTCACACAATAGTTTAAAATGATCTAAAGACAAACCAATTCACGAAATGTTGAAATTCACACCACATATGAGGCATGTATCAGTATTGGCTCTATGCCCAACTTTTTGCAACAAGTGCCACAGGGAATCAGCTTCGTCATTACGGATAGCTTAGCAGATGTGACGGTAAAGGTGATAAAGTGAACGATACAAGTACCGGAGTAAAATATACGGGCATCAATTATAAACAGGAAGGCTGGAACAGGATAGGCTGATGAAACACGATAGAGATATCTTTTCCTGAAGTTATCGTAAATTTATTGAATTTTGTTACGGATTTCGTGGTCCACGAGCCAAGAATGTACAGAAGTTGCTCTTGTTTTTGCTACACTTCTTTTGCAGAGACAAGGTGAGCCACTCAAAGTTCTATACGGATCGCTATGATTTGCTTGATGTTTAAGGAACGCTAGTTAATTGGGATCCTATATGGTCCCTTGAATCTGACCTTATCACACCAACTATAGATGAGCACTGACCCATGTTATTGTTTGTCTCCTTGTCTCTGCTGCTCTGACCTTGGACCTTTCGCTGTCGCTCGCTATTAGTTTGCTATATAACGATATCCCAATCTTCATACTAACCTGAATTGCCTACCAGGTGTTTGTGATAACGGCACTCAAACGTCTACAGAGTTGTTTTTTTGTTTTTTAGCTCTGCACGTCCATTTCGATCTTCACGCTTTGGGCGCGGAATACTCCGGTGCGGACGGATAGTACGCGTGCTCATCTCATAATGTTCCTCTACGATTCTCCCTCATATCGCTCTCTGTCAATACCACACTTTGCTGTGTGAGTCTTTGCTGCTTTGGACTTATTCCAATTCCATCGGAAATGGGATCCTTATCTTTCCGGTATTTTCCCTCATGCGACTTGGGTTCCCTTCACCAAAAGGTCTCTATTAGACCTTGTTTGAAGATGTAATGTGAACTACATTTAGTGACGGTTTTAGAATATCTCTTTCCGGGTTTTGCCCCGAAATGTTCAAGCTAATCAAGGGGAATTATCAGCCACTCGCTTGCTACGGCGAGTTGCAGCTGTCTTATTGCATCACTAAAATTCTACCCTTCTTGGACTGCTCCATTATTACACCTTGGTATCAGACACGCTACAGTCTAGATGGAAGAAAGTGCGTTATGCCTTACATTTCCACACTGTCATTTTAGCTTCAACGAGATCATTGAGCTGCCGTTACCATACGACTCACTGTATGACTACAACGGAATTTGTTTCATTCTTACTTCTACCTGCACTGACGAAAAGGGCGTGCACGAGCAGCTCCTTGCTGGTGCTAATATGCCTCTTTACAACTCCAGAAAGTGAGTTCACCTGACTAGCCAAGTGTGACTTCACTTCGGTTTTCGCTTTTTCTCCATTATACGACCGTACTCGTCATACTAGTTGAAAGATACGCTTCAGCACCAGCATTTCTACGCGCGACTGAGACTGTAATTAAGAAAGAGTAGAAAAGTTTCTGTACAACTTTATCGAATTATGAAAAATCACAAACATTTAATTGCGAATCGTCAGCGGTAGTGTTTGGTCAGTCAATCGTTTATCCTTGTTCGGTTATGAATTCGTATTGGTGTCATTATTTCCGGATATAGGATGTATTTTTTGCATTGTATGTGCACCGTTTCACAAAAGCACAGGTTTCCGAAATAATCGTCGATACGAGTTTTAAAACGCTTCACAAAATCGGCCTCTATTAGTCCTTCTGGTAGTGTATTCTATAAGTTTACGATTCTTGGTTCTATACAAAGCCTATGTGATCCCTTGTTCTTGCACGGGACCCTGAGTTTGTAACGGTGTACTCGGGTGTTACAGGATTCTTGCAGATGAAATATTGGCCGCAGTACGGGGAAGTGATTTAAGTGTACCACTCGATGGGTCATAATAAGGTCAAATCTTACTAGGCGGGAGGACAGCGTGTAGAGTCCGATCCTTTCACAAATTTTTCAAACGGAAGCTTTCGAAGACTGGGTATCATTCTAGTTGCTATGTGCTGCATATTCTCCAGCTTTTCAGTTTCCCACTGGGCTATCGTATGGTGAGCTGCGGCGCCGTATTCAAGGATTGGTCTAATGAGCGAGGTGAATAGGTGAGGGACGGTTTCTTCGTACTATGTGAAGAAACTGCGTCATAATGCCCAGAGCATAAGAAGTCCCGCACGGTACAATCTCGCTGTATTTTCTATTGATCTCATACCATGTCACGAGAGCACTCCTAATTCTCTGACAAATGTGTTAGGATGGAGCAACTGGCCGTCCAAGGTGTATGATCAAGTGGCTGGACGTCTGCTGATACTGATGAACTCCGACTTACTTGCGTTAAGAGGGCGTTACATTTCAGTGGACCACGTTGACAGTCGATCTAAGTCATACTGGAGGCGAGCGCACTCGTTCTCAATGATCCTCCAGATTTTCAAATCATCTGCAAACAAGGCACATGGTGACTGGAGCTGCTACGGGATATCGTTGATATGAAGAAGAAATAATACTGGCCAAAGTACAGTTCTTTTAGGCACGCCGCTGGTCAATGGGGACCAGTCTGTCAGGTAGTCATTAACCTGTACTCTAAACTTCCGTTCCACAATAAACTCGTGTAACCACTAAAGTAGCATGCCACCGAGTCCGTTGCTTCTCAGTTTACGAAGGAGTACCTCATGGTTCCCTTTGTCACCCATCTTACTAAATTCGATGTACCCCACGTCAACATTCCTCCGTTTGTTGAGTGTTCGTACTCCCTGGTGGTTTGCGTACATCAAGTTGGCGATGCAGCACCCCCCTTTGTGAAGCCATCTTGCGCTGGCGTCAATACATCTATCGATTCGAAGAACGGCAGCAGACACTTTTTCACAATCTTCACGAGAACTTTGGATTATATCGAAGTCAAACAGATCGGTGTGCAGTTCTCTGATTTACCCGAATCTCTACCCTTGAGAGGCGGTCTCACTATCGAGCATTTCCAGCCGTCGGGAACAGATCTTTCAGAATGATTTATTGAACAGATTTGTCACTGCTGGTGGGAGGGCATTCTATAGGGACTTAAGTAATAGTGGTTGAAATCCGTCTTGTTCGTTGGGCTTTGCACCATTGAGGTTGACGAGTAGCTGATACACTTCGACTGCATCACATTGTAGGCTATCGAACAAGACTGGCGCAACCTGTGTCGATATTGGAACAGGCGCCGGTTTACTGGAACATACGGCGAGGAAGTGCGAAGCCAAGGTGTCCGCGTGCTCCGTGCTTGAAGTGAGCGTCTGTCCGTTCAAGCCCTCTAAGACGGGTAGGTCGCCCGCAGGTTTCAGTTGCCGTTTCAAGTAGGCAAATATTCGCTTGGGGACGGTTGTGGCCGAGGCCGTTAGCTCCTCTTCGAACTGCCGGCGTTACATATGTTACGCTGTTTCTTGCACACCGTGTAATCTTCATCACAATCCGAGGTGATGTATCTATCCCAAAGTTTGCGACGCCGTCACGCTAACTGTTTATATTCCTTATCAAAGCAATGCGGTTTGACAGGTTCGACTTTTGAATACTTCTGGGGAACTAACCGAGTACACAGCGAGTTAGGCTTCCCCTTCATTAATGACCGATAGGCCTCAAGCGACGCATCCTGTGGTAGTGTCCAATCAGTCTGACTGGCGGCTTGGACGAGCCCGTTGAAGTCCGTCTTTCAATATTTGGATATTGGCTTCCGTTGGTTGTAGTACGGTAACGGCAGTTCTATGCTTGTCACAATGGAGCAGTGGTCACTATTCGCCAGAGGTTCGAGAACTCTGATCTCTTTCAGCTTCTGCTCGCAGCTCGTAAACATTAGATTGAGACAAGATGCCGAGTGCGGAGTTGCGCGCGTCGGTTGGATGACATGTTGTGTTGCCCCGATTTCAATAGTCATTCTAGCGAATTGAGCCTCAGCATCGCTATGACCGGCGAGAAGCCGAACATCTTGGATACATTTAGATACCCTACCAGTAAGAACTGAGGGCCGTTCATGTGCTTCTGTATATGTGGTAGCCAATCGCAACAACGGTTTAATGAAATATCGTAAATAACACGCACTATTAGTTCTGCGCTTCTGAGACGGATTTTGCGCCACAATTGCTCGCATAAGTTCTCATCGCTCCGATAAGTGCTGAATAGTTTGCCAGATGGTGCTGTTGTACAACAGAACATCACCGTAAGCTTTTGATTTTCGGTCGCATTGGAACAAGAGGATCCTGACAAGGCGACTTCTTGGGGTTTGACGTCAGAATTCAGTCAACTCCCTGTAAGTCCTAAAACGTCCGGCCGCTCAAAGACAGCGAAGCGGCGCAGCTCGTCACGTTTGTTCATTAGGCTACACACGTTGGCGAATGCCACACGGGGGTCCTAGGAGGTACCGCGGGACGTGCCTGAAGGTTGAGCAACGGATTGATACAAGTTTGTACACCCTTCTTGATCATCCAAAAGTTTGAAAGTTTGAAAAGTTTGAAGTCAGTCTCACCTCCTTCTGTACGGCGTTTGAGCCCAATGAACGCATTCTTCAAACGATCCCTGTCTTCGGGTTCCAGTTTTCGGCGGATGTGAATCTTTATGCTTTTCAGCCTTGACGGACGAGACAGTATGAGCTGTGGCATATTGTCATTTACAAAGATGATTCTCAGAGATCGACATGACTGGTTAGTTTCCTGGCTAAGTCAGACTACTTTTTTATTCGTTACACTCTTCATCCACATCTAAGAGCCCTTGGAGGAACTCAACATCGTGATCATAACGTATCAGATGGTTTTCATCTTTTAATTCGACCACCGCTAGTTGACAGAAATTATACACTTGAGAACCATAAATGATGTGCTTATTATTAAAACATTGTGGTTGTTGTGTGTACGTGCAATCCGGCTTACTGAAGACTCAGTAATGCCGTCATCTTCAGTATGCACGTTAGCTAGGGTGGAAAGCACGTGAATCTTAATACTATGCATTATATTGTTTATTGGCTTGTGTTTTTAATGTTTGCTATCTTAGTTATATATCTATATATTACCTTTTCGTATTACCGCACAACATCTGAAGTGTCTCTCACCTTTATCCGTCGTGTACTGCTGATGATGGTACACTAGGCGAGTAGTAGACGTCGATGATAGGCTAGTTCATCAATCGTTGTACAGCGACTTCGTCATTGTGACCCATTATAAAGGCCTGTGTGATTGCGCTTGCATACTCTGGTCTTTATGACCTGACTGTACTGTGAGTACCTCGTGAATACAGTTGTTTCCGTGCTGAGCAAGTATTGTTTAGGTATGTCCTTATTGAATTTCGATATCCACTTGCGTAGTACCGTGTGGACCGTCCTTCTCTATGGTTGTGATACTTCGTTCTGACGATCTGGGGCAGATTCAAATCTTTATAATCGTTGCCTGCGGTACAATATTGGTGTCGGTTGGTACCAGCTTGTTCGCAACGATGTGTATAGGCGAGCACTAAGCGATGATAAAAAGCCTAGTTCCTTAAAACAACAGATAAACTTGAATAAGTTGCGTTGACTTGGACATGTTCCACGTATACCCGGTTACGGCTCACGGAGGAGAGCCTTAGTTTGTTTTCTGGATATAAAGTGCCGCAGGGATTGAGGTGGACAAAATTAACTTGACTGCGGGAAGTGAAATCACTGATTACTAAACTAGATGCTGTTCTTTCGTGCCATATTCTAGGCTGGCGTCCGCGCAACCTACCTTGTGCTTGACTCGAGAGTTTACGGGATATGGTTCCCAGTCGACAACAGTGGCGTGTCTGCTGGGGTCTCATAGTCGGACTACCTGTCGAACTATGTCAAATTCCGAGTTATCAGCAGGGTAATGGCTGATTATGACGCGGGGCAATGAAAGCCACAAGGATACTGTCTCGCCGGTGCCACCTTCTACACGATAGTCAGTTGTTTGTGGCCGGATGTTTTTGACTAGGTGTCCATCTTAGGTATTCCGCCGAATTTTATACAAAAATCAAAGAAACTTTACGTTTATTTCCATTTTCTCTAAACGTTTCGCGAGTTCCATTCTGCGACATTATATTGGTCCAGGTGAGAACGGAATTCATGTGAACCATACTGGCTTTTGCCTTGGTCGTGTCTCCATTGACCACGTATTTATTTTCAAGTATTTTGGCAGTCACACTAACAGACGATCGACCATGGTGGTTTTCTCTTCCTAGGATGTCGTCTTCGTGCCAACTTGTGACACCGCATGTTTGTAAGGAGCTTGCTAAGGAAATTTCTGTTCACTCAATGTTATATCCACGACAACTCCCGTTACCGGTTAATTGTCTACGAGTAGCTGTCTTCTGAGTAACCTGTGCGGAATGGGATTCGCTGCAGTTATCTGCTGCCTCCTTTTTTCTTTTGCTTATGATCGAAGTGCTCATAGATGACTGTCCTCGCAGTTTGTCACGGATTGGAAATCCTGCAGATCAATCAATCGACCAACCTTGCTAATGCGGACGGCATAGTTCTCTTCGTGTCGTACCAGGCTTCCATGCAAGCGATATTGGATAGACGGACATTTGTCGCTGCATACTTCGCCATGTGCCTTGCACCTCCAATGTGCATTGTGTGAAGCCTACCAAAGATGAACCCAGTAGGTTGCGGTTGGAAGAAACAGGTAAATAATTTCATTTCTCGACTCATTTTCATTTTTATCATCCAAAATATCTTTTGAGTTCGACCACTGAAAGAGGAGCTTTAAAAACTGTATGTCGCAGATCTCAGTCCTTCAGGAACATACGATTTGTTAGACAAATTAAACTCTGCAAAAATGACAGCATAGTCGGTATGTAGAAACCTCGATGTAAATCAATAGGCCACTTATAAACTAATGACGCTGCTGCATTCACGAGATCATCTTTTTGAATCATATAAAATCCCGCTCCAGTGCAGCTAAATACGAAACAATCAGCGCAAACGCGAAACATGCTTGGGCCTTCAATCAAATGCTCTCCTCGCTTTCGGCGAGCTAGTCGTGTGCTTCGTCATGTAAATCCGTGTGGTTCTGCTTGCACGATCCCATCACAGTGTGTACGTTTCTCTTTTTGTACGGTTCACTGGTGCCGTTGTTAGTCTAAATGAGTTGGAGCATGCATGCTTTTGACGGGTTTGGTATTCTCTGCCTCACTATTGTTTTTCGTTCTTTTCCAGGCTATTTCGCCATGGCATTTACGAGCTCGAACTTCATCCTCTGGAATCGCTTGGCGTATATCGGCTGGACGAGGTTGAGAAAGTCGTGCGGAAAGTTGAATTCAACGCAAAACCCTTAGGGATGGATCAGTTGAACAAGTTACTGAAGGTACTTATATGGATTTGTTGTATTCGGAAGTCAGCCACTCGTGCATTCAGTTGTTGCATCATTTCTACTGCTTTTCTAGATATTCAGTTACTTTAGTTTTCACTTGTTGTTCAGTAGACAGTATATATATATATATATATATATATATATATATATATATATATATATATATATATATATATATATATATGGTTGGCGGCATCCGGTTTCAGATTTGCTTGTCACTGTGGCCAGCCACAGGACGCCTGCGCCTACAGAGGGACCATGGATGGCTTGCGCTGCACCACCCACAGCTCCATCCACCCACCCCATATCCAGTGTAAACCCGAAGGAATAAGACTGGAAGGCATGTGGATGGGAGCCACGTTTCATCAACGGAGCCGGCCCACACTCCTTCACAGGCAAACACAAGCACGGTGTATTTAGGAATCAAGCGCACACAAGGCGGTGGCTAGCTTAGAACACGCATTGAAATCAAATGGACTGTCGGAGGAGTCCCAGCAACAGATACGGCAGACTGTTGTCCCAGTGCTTACTCGGAATAAAGTCACCCAGACCCTAGCCATGGAGGAACAGGATGCACTCAGACGTTTACAGAAAGACGAGAACATTGTAATCCTACCAGCGGACAAAGGGCGCATGACAGTTATAATGGACAAACCGGAGTATATTAACAAGGCCAAAGAACTGCTATCAGACGCAACTACATATCGCCAGATCGATCAAGATCCAAGTTCAGAACTGGTCAACCAGATTAACGCAACGCTGAAGAAACTACAAACAAAGAACGAGCTCACCGCCACAGAGAGATGGAGAATGAAAGCGGATGATACAAACATTGCACTGTTCTATGGACTACCAAAAGTACACAAAGATGGAGTCCCACTACGACCAATCGTCTCGCTCCCCGGAACCCCATCATATAAACTAGCAAAGGATTTGTGGAAGAGGTTAAAACATTTGGTTGCCGGATCCGAACATAGCATTAACAATGCTGAACAATTCCTCAAAAAACTGCGAAGTGTCAGAATAGAAGACGACGAAATAATGCTTTCATTCGATGTCACCGCACTCTTCACTTCAATCAGTCGTGAATTGGCCAAAGAAACCATGCTGGAACTACTTGAGAATCAACTAAGCCCCACAACAACCATACGACCTGAAAGCTTTTGGGAACTCCTGAACCTCTGCATGACCACTTATTTCCGCTTTGATGGACAAGTATACCAGCAACTGAGAGGAACACCCATGGGATCACCAATTTCGGGGCTCATTGCAAAAGCCGTAATGCAGAAATTGGAGCGCATTGCACTGCCATCCATCAGCCCGAAACTCTGGATACGATACGTGGACGACACCTTTGTCATCGTAAAACGGAACAGAGTACAGGCCACTCATGCTTTGCTCAACAGCACATTCGAGGATATCAAATTTACGCTTGAATTATAGGAGGATAACAAGCTACCATTTTTGGATGTACTGGTCACTAGGAATACAGATGGATCTATGGAAACGTGCGTATATCGGAAGAAAACGCATACGGATCAGATATTAAACTACTACAGCAATCACCCGATGAATCACAAGAAGAGCTGCATTCAAACCTTGTTCAAGAGAGCGGAAACGCACTGCAGCACAGCCGAATCGCGGAAACATGAAGAGCATCACCTATATCGAGTGTTTAGAAACAACGGTTATCCGAGAAGTTTCATCAGAAGAAGCTTAAAGAAACGAATGCCTCAGCAACAGCAGCAATCATCTGATCAACCAAACAAACGGATAGTGCTGCCCTACATCAAGAACGTCTCCGAACTAACAGGAAGATTGCTGCAATCACATGGAATCTCAGTGGCTCACAAGCCAAGTGTCATCCTAAGGAAATTGATCTCAAGACCCAAAGGAAGAGTCAATGAAGCCGACCAATGCAATGTCATCTACCAGCTAAAATGCAGTGACTGCGATAAAATCTACGTCGGACAAACTGGAAGAAAACTTTGTACACAATTCACCGAACACAAGGCGTCCGTCAGAAGGCACGATCCACACTCATTGGTTTCTGCGCATGAAGATCAAGAAGGTCGCCATTTCGATCTGGAGAGTGTAAAGATCCTAGCACATGGAAGTACAAAACACGAGAGGGAATTTTTGGAAGCCTGGTACTCTACAACGCATGCAATCAATCGCCACATCGAACTTGACGCTACTGATGAAGGACCGACAACTCGATCGATTGAATCCGGCGGAACGTGTGACTAGCCAACCCGAACTGGCGGCAGACTCGCTCGCATGTGCAAGCGGACAAAGGAGGTGAGGTCAAAAGTCATCTGCCCATTAAGCAAGCTGAACACGGATCGAAGTCCCAACCAATAGGATTGCTCGGATCCACGGCCAACCACGACGGTATAAAAACGCACACACACCACGCTCAGCGCACTCTCACCGAGGCTCCTCTACGCTACTCTACGCTATTGCACGCCACTCCACTACGCACTGATGAGGTCACCTCGATTGGTGACGAAACGTTTGCAACAAAATTGCCAAGCTCAGCGAACAGTTCAACAGCCATCTGAACAATCTGAGCTACCAGCCTTCAATGCTATAGGACCGTAGTCCGCTCCACACTGAGTGCATGGAACCACTCTTTGATCCTAACACGGCCACAAGGACCGTGCACCCTGTCCCCTCCAGCAACGACCAACTGTCTCCTGGAGCCAGTATGGATGAGGTAGTGGGTAATAGGCAGGTAGGCACCTTGTCAACATGCACATCAAGCGCAGCTACACCGGGGATATCAAACAACAGCCAATCACTTGAGAGAAAGATAGCAAGGAAAATAAATCGAATGATGGATAAGGGAACGTAAACAAAATCTTAAATTAATGAGCATATGGGATAAGTTGTTAATAAAGGATCCGAAATAAGCTCCAGAGATCAGATAGCATATTTTACGGAAATGACACAAGCACGAAAATGTTATCGAAATTAACTACAATTGGTTTAAACGAGTTGTGCAGGTTTATAGAAGAGCGTACGGGTGGACAATTATTTGAAAAGGGAAGCATTAGGACAAAATTGAAAACCCACCACCCAAAATAAAGAGACTTAGCATGCAAGCACGCGGTTAGTAAATCGAATGCAGCGTACCTACAGACGCTGCGTTGGTTCTGCCTACGTTCTCTGCAGGACCCGTCGTCGCTTCGGTAGTGGTCCCGAGTGGCCGCACTCATGGCTCACTAAGCCTGCCTGACTCAGGCACTCGCGACCGCATGTGCTACAGCACCGTGCGCTTGATGTGGATGGAGTACAACCCACCGTTGCTTGCCGCTTCTTCTCCGCATGCATGAAGCTTTCTCCTGCATCTCGGCAACTTCCTTCGTGATCAGGTAGCGCCATATATATATATATATATATATATATATATATATATATATATATATATATATATATGGTTGGCGGCATCCGCTTTCGGATTTGCCTGTCACTGTGGCAAGCCACAGGACGCCTGCGCCTACAGAGGGACCATGGGTGGCTTGCGCTGCACCACCCACAGCTCCAACCACACACTCCATATCCAGTGTAAACCCGAAGGAATAGGACCGGGAGGCATGTGGATGGGAGCCACGTTTCATCAACGGAGCCGGCCCACACTCCTTCACAGGCAAACACAAGCACGCTGTATTTGGGGAATCAAGCGCACACAAGGCGGTGGCTGAACCGTAGTGCGCTCCACACTGAGTGCATGGAACCACTCTTCGAGCCCAACACGGCCACAAGGACCGTACACCCCGTCCCCTCCAGCAACGACCAACTGTCTCCTAGAGCCAGTATGGACTAGGTAGCGGGTAATAGACATGTAGGCACCTTGTCAACATGCACATCAAGCGCAGCCACACTGGGGATATCAAACAACTGCCAATCATTTGAGAGAGAGAGAGACAAGAAAATAACTCGATTAATGTATAAGGAAACGGTGACATAAATCTTAAGTTAACGAGCATATGTAATAAGTTGTTTACAAACGAATCCTAAATAAGTTCGCGAGGTCAGAAAGTGTACTTTACGGAATACGTCGAACACAAAATGCTATGGAAATCGACTACAATTGGCTTAAGCGAAGTGTGCAAGTTAATGGAATAGGGTACAGGTAGACATTTATATGAGAAAGAAAAGCATTTAGGCAAAATTGAAAATCCACCACCTGAAACAAAGAGACTTACCATGCAAACACGCGGTTAGTACATCGAATGCAGCGTACCTACAAACGCTGCGCCGGTGCTGTCTACCTTCTGTGCAGGACCCGTCGTCGCTTCTGTAGTGGTCCCGAGTGGCCTCGCTCATGGCTCACTAGTAAAGGGTGACATATATCTTAAAGTAATGAGCATCTGAAGTAAATTGTTTACAGAAGAATGCGAGATAAGTTCACGAGATCAGAAAGTATACTTTACGGAAATGCCACCAACACAAAAACGTTTTTGGTAAGGACTAGAATTGGCTTAAGTGACGTGTGTAAGTTTATAGAAGAAAGTACGGGTAGACATTTATACGAGAAAGCAGAGCATTGGGACAAAATTGAAAACCCTCCACCTGAAATAAAGACTTAGCACGCAAGCAAACGGTGACATAAATCTTAAATTAGTGAGCATATGAAATAAGTTGTTTACAAAAGAATACGACGTAAGTTCACGAGGTCAGGAGGTTTATTTTACGGAAATGTTACAAACACGAAAATGTTATCGAAATAACTACAAGTGGCTTAAGCGAAGTGTGCAAGTGTATAGAAGAGAGTATAACTAGGCATTTATATGGGAAAGAAAAGCATTAGGGCAAAATTGAAAACCCACCACCTGAAATAAATAGACTTAGCATGCAAGCACGCGGTTAGTAAATCGAATGCAGCGTATCTACAAACGCTGCGCCGGTTCTGCCTACGTTCTCTGCAGAACCCGTCTGCGCTTCGGTAGTAGTCCCGAGTGGCCTCGCTCATGGCTTACTAGGCCTGC